AGTCAGATTCTAAATAACATGCTAACATGTAATATGGCGAGCTGGCACCGCCATGGCATACTCAGCCCCAGGGTGCCTTATGTGCCACGCCAGCTCAGCCAGGGTCAGTGACCCTGAGAGGGGGCCGTGAAGGATGGAGAAAAGACAGACAAGAGAATGAGCTGGGTCTGGGTGGGACACTGCTCCCGGATGGAGAGAGAGCGCCACGGACTATAAGTTGTGTCTTTATTTTATAGCCAGATTCCACAAGGCAAAGTAAAGGCATGGTCAAGATGTTTACAACATTCTTGTGGGTTTTGATCCTACTCAACTACATGCACCTGAACTCTATTAAGCCCATATCACTCAGGCACGTAGGGCCATGTGTTCAGACCATAGGTTCAAGCTTACGATAGCTGTTGGCCACGATTGTGCTGAGAGGGCCCTGCCCTCGAAGCTTGGACTTGCACATGGCAATGAGAGGACTGTGCCCTCTCATTAGTCCGAGGCTTGAACCTGTCCAAATACTGTAGCCGCTCTCCACAATGTAATTTATTTGACAGCAAGGAACCAGAGGAAGGTTTTTAAGTAGAAGTGTGACATGCTTAAGCAGAGTTCTGGGAAGGTTATTCGGGAGCAGTGTAGAGGCTGGGCTGGGGTAGAAAATGCGGGCGGGGGGGGGGGGTTGGAAGAAGATGCAGGAGGATCTTTCAAGGTTCTGCTACAAGTGTCCAGATGAAAGCTGTTAAGGGCTTTTAAAATAAGGTGGACACTGTGGGAAGTGAAAGGAGAGGAGAGATGAGAGAGACATTTATAAGGAGAAATCAATAAGACTTGGGTGTGGAGGGGGGGGGCAGAGAATGAGGAGGCAGGGACTCACTGAAGGTTTGAATGTGGGAGACCAGAAGACCCATAAGCGATGCCCTTAATACAGGACTGGAAGGTAGGAGGAGGGAGTCTCCCCAGAGAACCTCAGAGATAGATGGAGCCATAAAGTCATCCACCAAATGCCCCATCCAATGTCTGCATCCCTTCTGATCCCATTGTAATCCCCCTTAGGGAACCACAGGCTGGCTTGGGCAGGGCAACAGCTAAGTGGCTGAAGACTAGTATTGGTCTCCATGGGTGGGAACTCTAGTGCAGGCAACTATGGGGTGCTCAAACAGTGGGCTAAGCCGAGCCAAAGTGCTCTAAAGAAAGGGGAGACCCACACACCATGGACACCCAGCTGAAAGGGCCCTTTGGGAGGTGGAAGTTGGAGTAGCAGAGCTGAGAAGCTGATTCAGTAGAGAGAGAATTGCAGTAGGAGCAGGACAAAGAGGTTAACTTCTGGGCTCCTGTCATGGCTGCCAACTTCCCTGCCACCTGGTGTCCTGCCCCTCTCAGAAAACTTTCAGAAACAGGGAGCTTGGAGCTCCATGGGTTCAGTTGAAATCTGTCTTACTGCAACCTTCACCCTAGTGTTGCTTCATCCCCTGGGGCTGCAGAAAAGAGACTTCATCTGGACAGCTTTGCAAATGGCTGGGATGGAAACCTCTCCAGTCAAGGCCCCGGCTGAGTGATTTTGAGTTCCCTCACTTCTGAAGGGATAGATCAGCTCGTCTGCATTTATGGAGCGTGCACATATGAGAGTGTGTGGCCAGGAGCCACACATGGAGTATCATCAGAGGCCTAGCCACCGGGCGTGGAGGAAAAGCTGTGTCTCCCTTCCTACCCGGAACTTGAGGACACTGGATTCTTTAGGGCCTGAACCACAGCAGACTAGATGAATTTACTGGGAACAAGCCTTGTGTTTTTATTGTGAAAGACTGCTAAGCCATACTTCCTCCATCCCGTGCTTTGAAATTGGCTATTTGTACCTTTATTGAGCAAACTGGGTAGGAGGAAGGCTTTTGGGATTATTACAAGGTTTCTAGTTTGTGTCTATTACTTACCAACTGTGTGACTTTGGGAAAGTTACACAATCTCTTGAAAATGTCATTTTCATTATATGTCAATGGCAAGCTGCTAGTAAGCATTTCGCAGAGTGGTGAGAAGTGAAAATTGAATGCCTGGGGTGGCTCTCGGCACACTGCCTGCCTCCTGGTAAACCCTCGGCAGTATTTGCTATTATTATCTATTGTTGCCTATTAGTAATATCTAAACTTGGTCATTGGGTCCTCTTTCTCTTATTAAACATAATTTAATTCAAATCTCTTCCAACATTGTGTCAACTATAATTATAATTTGCATGGGTTCTGTATCTTCCTTTGAATTTCTTCGATGTTTTCTGTCACAGAGGTGAATAAGACAGACATAGTCAGTATCTCCTATAGCTGACAGTCCACTGAGGAAGAGACACACTAAATTATTCATGTGATAAGTCTTCTGTGCTTGCTGAAGACACTCCACTCCAATACAAATTCACTTGTCTTTTTTCCCCACTCAGTCTGTATTGTTTACCTTGTTCCTGAGGATATATGAGGATACCAAAAGTGATCCAGTAACATGCCATACTGATTTCCAGAGGAGAGTCACTAGGATAAGAGACCTCAGATCCATCTCACAAAAGCAACAGATGGAGGGGAGAGAGGGGGGAAGAAGAGAGGAGAGGGAGAGAGAGAGAGAGAGAAAGAAATATGCTGAAGAGGGTGACAATTTGGTGGTTAGTTTGATGAAGATGGAGAGAAGGCAGCTGTAGTTGACATAAACTTCCAATGAGGCCAATGTTATGCTGGCAGGAGGTGGCTTTTCAAGCACTTCTTGCCGACAGCTCCTGGACCATGATTCGGAGGAAATGGTGACTCCCTTGCAGGTTTTCCCCAGGAATTCATCTAAAACATCAATCTTTATTATAGATGAAGAAATGGGTCTTTGATTTAAATGGCCATTGCGAGTCAGGTGTGAAGGGGGTGGAGACCTATTTAGGGAAAGAAAGAGAAGAGAAGGAAAATCCAAAGAGGGTTTCACTTTTTGGGAAAAAGCTGTCAATGCGCTACTGTAGGTCTTTGATAAAAGATGAACTTCAGGAGAGCAGAGGGCATCCTTATGCCTCTGTTCCTTTCTCTGGAATAACTAGAATTATTTGACAATAACTAGAATGACATGTGAATCAGCTAAATTGTAATTGTGAAATCCCTGGTAGAGTTTCTTCTGCATTTCCCACCCAAGCATGCTTCTGAGTCATTAATCTTCATCTCGAAGACAAAGTTTTGGGAACGAAGCCTTGGGAAAAGCTTAGTCCATAAGCAGCAAATTTAGGAAATGTGTCACTTCCTGGAAATAGACTATAATTACCACCTACAATAGAGACTGCTCATTGTTTTAGTGAGCAATCCAAATATGATATTTCCACACATTTTGCACAAATGCATCAACACAGTTTAAAGCTGGTTATTGTTTTACTCTTAGGTTCTGGGGCATAGCAATAAAGAAAATAACACAAAATCCCTTGCTTTCTGGCACTGACAACCTAGTGGAATGACAGACAAACAAAAGAGTAAATGTATAGTTTGCCAGCTGTTGATAAGTTCAATGGGAAAAAATCAAAGTGGGGGTGAGCCGTGTTGGGGTGGTGAGTCATTTCTATTTTGTATTATGTGTTGAGGGAAGGCCTTACTGGCAAAGTGTCTTTAGAACAGAGACCTGAAGGAAGTCAGGGACCAAGCCCAATAGTTGGGAGAAAGTCCTTCCAGGCAGAGAGAGAAAATAAAAAAAAAAGCCAAGGTCCGGAGGCAGGGGCATGCCTGGTGTGTTCCAGAATCAACAAGGTGGAGTTGTCCCTTAAGCAGAGCGGGCAGGAGGGAGAATAGCAAGAGATGAGATCAGAGAGGTAGCAAGGGGTGAGATCAAGGTGAGGACTTGGACTAGACGCTGAGTGAGGTGGAGGCCAGTGGCGGATCGGAGCAGAGGGGTGACGTGACGTGACTTGCCTTATTATAAATGGCTCCTCTGCTGGCTGTGGACATGTGCTTGTGATAACTATGACCTATCCATGTGGTGATCCAGTGGACAGCAAAGGAGAAGGGTGCCAGGAAGATGGGAATGGAAACTTCGGCACTAGCTTCTGTAATACCCGTACGTTATGGAAATAGAGGGGTCATCCAGGGATTGACTGTGGACAGAAAACACTGAACCCTGGAGACACAACAGTTTGGAGACCCAACAACATCTGTAAGAGGAGGGTCCAGCAAGATATCCTCAGAAGGAGTAGCCAGTGAGGAAACCCAGAGGGTGTTTCATAGGAGCCCAGCCACTGAGAATATATTATCACTCACTTAAAAAACAACAACAAAAAATTTCTTGAGATAAGTATCATTGAATTGATTGATTTGCTAATTTATACAACTAAAAAGATGCAATTGTTGCCGAAACCGGTTTGGCTCAGTGGATAGAGCGTCGGCTTGTGGACTGAAAGGTCCCAGGTTCGATTCCGGTCAAGGGCATGTACCTGGGTTGTGGGCACATCCCCAGTAGGAGATGTGCAGGAGGCAGCTGATCGATGTTTCTCTCTCATCGATGTTTCTAACTCTCTATCTCTCTCCCTTCCTCTCTGTAAAAAATCAATAAAATATATTTTAAAAAAATAATAAAATAAAAAGATGCAATTGTACATCCATCTCTACAGGAAAGTATAATAATAATATTTCATCCTATTCTATGATGAAAGAATTATGACTAGACTACAGGAGCATGAGTGTACCAGCAGCTGATGAAGTAGCCTTCTCCTTGGCTAGTGGGATGAGCCTTGGACTTTACAGCACACGGAGCAAGAACCACAAAACGTCCACAGCAGAAAGGCCCTGGTGTGGAGCTTTGGGGGAATTTTGACTGCATCTGCCTCCTCTAGACATTTCTCATAGGGATTGCTCAAGTGTGGATTTTTTTTTGGAATATCTTGTTCTGGTGCCTTCTATTTTTCAGAATCCCTTCAAAATGCATTCCTTCTCACTTTGAATTTTTGCTCAGAAATTTAAGATTTATTACAGAATATTGTCTGAGTTAAAGAAGCCCCCCTCATAACCTGATAGGGGTCATTTCTACACTTACAAGAGAAACATACATGACAAACACGGTGTTTGCATTGGATGTTGAAGGATTCATTGCCAAGTTGTAACAATCACACTCTTTTGTTTTCATTTCCTGTCCTCTGTCAGTCTTGAGGGAGATCTCTCTTCATCACTTCCTTGTATATGCTCACTCCTTAGCAGAATCAATTTAATATCCTAAGAGAAGAGATTTAAAGGGAAGTTGTAAACATTTACCAATGACAGGATTAATGATCACCTAATACGTGGCAGTGATTAAAGAGTAAGGAGGTTTTTATTGTTTTCCTTTGATAAAGTTGTTCTCTATTTAGTTTGAATCCTCTCCTGCTTTCCCTCATTTCATAGTGGAATTGTCCCATTAGCTTAAATCACGTTTATAAAAGCAATTACACGGAGCTTGGCACATAATGGGTAAGCCAAAAGATTATTTCCCTATTAATGAATAAAAAGCAGTACTTTCTATTAAAGGAAAATCCTAATGCTACATTAATCATGTCTCCAGACTTGTAGACTTTTAGAACAGCAGATTACTGAGAAGGTGGGGATTGCCTCATTTCTTCATTTTTTTTTTTTAATACCAAGGATAGAAGGATCTGTTTTTCACCCACTTAAAATGCCCAGCTTGCTTACATTTTAAATCACAGATGCTTTTCCAATCTACTTGTAAATTATTATTATACTTGTGATTTAAAAAAAATCTTTATTGTTGAAACTATTACATAGTTTTCCTTTTCTCCCCCCCCCCAAACCCCTTCTAGCCTGCCCCCACTCCCTACCCCACGTTTTCACTACCCTATTGTTAAAAATAAACTTAAAATACTATCACAATGTACCAGGGATACAAACACTTGTGGAAAATATAGAATTATGTTTATGCGGTTTCTAGTTTGCTCCCCCCCTCCCCTACACACACAGATTTAGGGAAGCTTCTTTTCTTCAGAGCTGAGTTCCAAAGGTTTCAGTTTGACTGTGGCCACTTCACTCACAAAGACATGAGTTAGTTCAGCCGAGTGGCACACACGCAGGCTGCTTCTACATGTCACTGCCAGGAATCGTGGTGAATCATTGTCTTGAGGAACGCTTCTTTGAAAACACAGATCTTCTCCAGTCAAAGGCCGATCTTCAGTGCACCGAGTGAAGAACTGGGAGAAGAAGAAGTCCGCCAGCCAAGGACTCTGGATAACTTTAAATAGTGCATGTACCGACTGTCAGCTCGGGGTCTTAGGGATGAGCTGGCCTGTGGCTCTCTGACCCTCCGTAGCAGGGGGAGAATTGAAAACTCCAGATACATAAACCAACCTGGGCTACGCTGATAGCTGAAATCGCAGGCCATCCTGTTCAGGAGCAGTTCATTGAGAAAAGCTTGAGAGTCTGGAAATGTTTGACCTGGGAGCTTTGAAAGCATGAGGCACTGAAGCAGCCGTCACGTTTTGTTATAAAGGTAAAGGAGAGGTGGAGCCTATTTTAAAATCAGGTGCCTTGAAGACAAAACAGCACGAGAGTCCCTTCTAGTCACACTTACAGTTATAGGAATTTGGTCCTCATGTGATTGGGTCTTCACAGAAATTCTCTTCCGATTTTAACACAAGCAGATTTATCATGATCTCCTGTTGAAAGGGAGCCTTAACTTTAAGGCTCTATGTTCCATTTAGAGCAGTGATTCTCAACCTGTGGGTCACGACCCCTTTGGCGGTTGAATGACCCTTTCACAGGGGTCGCCTAAGACCATCCTGCATATCAGATATTTCCATTGCGATTCATAGCAGTAGCAGCATTACAGTTATGAAGTAGCAACGAAAAATAATTTTATGGTTGGGTCACATGAGGAACTGTATTTAAAGGACCAGAAGGTTGAGAACCACTGATTTAGAGGTTAGTTAAAAGAAAATTACATATAATCAGCATGTGTTCATGATAAGAAATGACATCTGTTAGGTTTGTAGAAAATCACGTGTTCGCTTGCATTTTAAATATATTTGTCAGAGGAAATTAATGGACTCTACTCGCTAATAACCAAGTCACAATGCTCTCATTGGTCTTGTCACATTTCACCAAAGCATTTTCTTAATAATTTAGGAACCTTTCTTGAAGATATCCTTTTCGTAGCAGAGCTATGAAAGTAGAAGTGAAATAAGTGACTCTACTTGAACAACTATAAAATCCAACAAAAAATCTGGATTTTCCATGTAGATATTTTCCACAGGGTTGTTCCGGGGTTTGAACCTTTGTCTCCAGGGCCCTGCACCAGGGACCGCTTTCCTTCTTTCCAGAGCAGACACTGAATTCAAGAGGTGACATGCCAGCTTATTAGTCCTCCCACACATAGCGTTTACACAGCTCAGAAATATTTCCTGTGCAATTACCATCATACCCACTGATAATAATAGCTAGTGGCTAACATTTATTGAGCTATCTATAGCTGCCAAGCACCTTTATATCTCTATATTAAGTAATTTAATCTATACAAGAACCCTGTGAGGTATGTGTGATAATTAACCCTGTTTTACAGATGGGAAACCAAGGCATCATGAGGTCACTTGCCCAAGATCACACAATTTGTTGGTATGAACCCGACACACGGATTGGTTCATCAGTGTGGTCCCGAGCCTGCTCTCCTAACCACAAAGCCAGGCCACCCCCAGCAGGAGCAAAATAAAACACACGAAAATAATTATGCATCCTTGGTTTCTAAATATGCACTTTTAAATGCTGCTGCTCTCAGACATGAACCTTGTAAACAGAGTTGTTGCCCAACAGAGCTGTTAGGCAACACCCTTCGCTTCCCACTGTTGATAAGAGCAAACACTGTAAAAACCACACTCTAGCTTGTGCTCTATTATCTTGAGAGATCTTCACATAACACCACTGTGGGTAAAGTTCATTTTAAAATGCGATCTATTTACCTGCACATGGATATCTGGAGCAAAAATGATGGCAAGGCCTGTGCCTGCGTCTTCAGAGTCTTCTTTCTTTTCCTTTCTGTCTTCCTTTCCTCCCTCTCTCCCTCCTTTCTTCCTTTGAAGGGAGGGGCCGATGTGCGGGGGATGCTGAAAGGAGAGGAATCCGGAGGAACCGGCCGTGGAGGAGACTGCCTGTCGAGGGCCTGTCGTGAGGTCTTGCGGGCTGATCTGCATACCCATGCCATGACCTTACGAAGTCCTGCAAGGAAGTCCTGACCGTCAGTCCTCCTTCCGTCCTTACTCCTTACTCCTTCCGATGCTCCTTTCTCTCCCTCTCTCCCCCTCTTTCTTTCTTTCTTTCTTTCTTTCTTTCTTTCTTTCTTTCTTTCTTTCTTTCTCCCTTTTCTATTATTCTTTCCTTCTTCCTTCCCTCCCTCCTGTTTCTCTCTTTTCTTCCTTCCTCTCTCCCTTCCTCCCTCCCTCTCGCTGCCCCTCTCTCCTTCGTTCCCTCCCCTCCCTTCTTATTCTCTCTCTCTTTCTCTTTCCTTTTTTGCTTAGTGAAAGTGAGAATAGAGCATGTTATTGGAAAGGAGACTTCTTTCATTTTAGAATATCAGAATTAAGCCTTTTCAGGTGGCAGGCTCAACTCCCCTTGATTCGCAGTCATGAGTGAGTCCTTATGGTGGTGGCCCACTGACTCTCCTTAGATGCCTCATTGGCGTGGCAGGGACGAGATGTGAAGGTCAAGGGGAGGAGAGGCGAGGAAGCTGACTCAGCAGAAGCACTCTGGCAGCGAGGGAATGAGACTGAACAGACTGACGACTGGCTGACAGACACACTCTCTTTCTGCTATTGGAGCGTCAGGCCATCCTGGTTCCAGAAGCCAGGTCACTGGGGTAAGACACCCTCAGCCAGGGGAGACTGGGGAAGGTGCGGAGGTAGTTTGGGGGTCAATACATCGAGGTGCTCCTGGAATACAGTGGGTAAGGCCCCAACTGTTAGATTGCTGCCACACGGGAGACAGCCCTGCGCAAAGAGGAACCATGTCATCCAAGATGCCAGCAGGACTTCAGTGGAGGTGACTGCAAACTGATGAAACTCCCTCCAAATGAGGAAAAAACCACGTTAAAAACAGCCTCCTGGCGGCCAGCTCCCAGGAGTGCGGGCACCGCCCAGCGGCTGGCTCTCCAAGGCAGCACTGCGGGGCCTTGTTCTTTTCTCTGCAAAGTGCCGACCAGCATCGTCAGCATCTTCTCTGCGAGTTACCCACCACGGTGGCCAGTCATTCGGCGAGAGTAGGGGTGATCACAAGTGGTCCTGACGTCGCGGGGAGTTTTCCTCCCATCCGGGACACCTGTGGTATCATTTTATGCTCCTACTTATTCTCGGCAATAGAAGATGAATGCTATTGTCCACAAGGCCAAGGGGTTTTGAAAAACCTTTTTGCTGGTTCAAAATAGGACTGCTCCCTGAAATGTGGGCAGAACACGTGGGATGAAATGCAGTCTGAAGTCACGGGCTTCTGGAACCCACTGTACCCAGAAGGATGGCTAACAAGACGGATAAAGGGGGACAGATCCCCACAGCTGATGACTCCCCACCCTGTGTGTGACACTCACTCACCTGTCTCTCACTGCTCCTTTATCTGGTCCTGGTGTGCTCCGTCCCCACTAATTCTAGGGGTGTCCTGACTTATGCCCTCCTAACCTGAAGTGGGGAAGAAAGCTGCCCTGTACTAATGAAGGAATAAAATAGAAGACGCTGAAAGGGACATGCGACATACTAGTTTCAGTGCAAACAGCAGATGCTTGTGGAATGTGTGAATAACTTGGAATAACGGCCAACTGTGTTTCCAAATATCTCAGACCTATTTACTAGTAAAGAAAGAGACACAAATAATTCTTAAAAGAGTCCTGTAAGATGTAGAGGCATAATGGCACGCTATGGTTAAGGCAAAGAAACACATAGGGACGAGAAATTAATACCCTTTCACACCCCGGCTCAGAAGCCTATATCCTCTCCCCATCGTGTTTCAAATCAAATCTGAACTTCTCCGGGTGACCTCTGGGGTCTTTGCTACCTGGCCCGGTCTAACTGCTCTGACCTTACTGCTCCGATCTTCCTGCTCCGAGGGCATCACTAAGCCCTTCACCAATGCCCGTCAGCCCGTCAGGCTGCTGTTCCTGCTCCTCCACACCTTTGCCCAGGCCTCGCCTCTCACCTGGGAGGCTGCCCCCGCTCCACCCCACAGCAAAAGCCAGGCGGACACCCCCTCCTCTCCCTCCACTTTCCCAAACCCTGGCCATCTTTGAGGACTCGCTGTCTAGCACACACGTACAGAAAGCCCTATGTTTTGAATTCCTCTAATTGTGCGCTTGGGTGCTTCGCCTTATGTCATTCTCATGTGGTTCCTGCACGAAAAAGTTCCTTGCAAACAGAAGTGTATTGCTCAGGAGCAGCAGCTGAGCTGGGTGCTCATGGTCCTTCTATGACGGGCGTCAGCGGTGAGTGCTGGGTGTTGACTAGTAATCACAACAGCCGTCATTTCTGTAGCGCTTGCCACGCGTCAGATACCATGGCAAGCGCTTCCGATGCATAATCTCATTGACTCCTCGCCATGACCCTTTAAACAGGAAGGGCTGCTATCCCCACTGAACAGACGAGAGAGCCAGGACCGAGAGAGAGTTAAAGTCAGGTTCTAGGGAGTGGTAGACCCCAGACTCAGTCCCATGACTTTCTGATTCCAGAGCCTGTGTTCTTAAATGTTATGATCATGCTTTACTGCTAGCTCATTAGAGATCCACTTCAGTTATTACGAATACAGGTAGTAGCCTTTGTATGAGAAAGGATCACCAATTTAGATACAAAGATATTTAAGTTTGGATCGTCCCATTCCTGGGCATAGGTAGTTATCACCGAGAAGTGAAGAGAAATGCATCTATATTACCTGTATTTTACCAAAGCTAAAGTGCTTGTATCTTAAGCTCAGCAAACGTGTTTTAGTCCAATAAACAACTAGCAGGAGCCAAATAGGAGAACTTCACGCATGTGAGAGGGTCGCAGCAACCTGCCACACCCTGGAAGGGGTCAGCCTCTGTCCTCCTACCCTTGCTGTTGGCGAGCTGGGGCTGGCCACGGTGGGGGTACATTCAGCATGTGGGTTGAAACTTGCTTGGTTACTGAGTGAGCTCTGAGGTACAGCTCTTCCTTTTGTCCTTCCTTTCTTCTGCTGGGTTGGTCCAGTCTTTATGGGTTTCATCCTCAGTTTCCCCATCCTGAATAATGTTTCCCGGATGGAACTGGCACCCGATCTTTCTCAGGCACTGTGACCATGTGTATTACATAGACAATGTGTACCATGGATATGTCATCACTTGGCTGGGGATCGTGGTTTCACTTCTCTTCGGCAAGGGGGGATTTATTCTCCACACTTTTCAATCACAGGCTCGGTCATTAGGTGGCGGGAATTATCCAGAACACAAATGCTGGCATCCATCTGGCTTTAACTATCATCTACCCCCAGCCTTCTGTTGTAGATCCAAAGTAATCCTGTGGTCCTGCTGAGGCAGATGCACAGTACGAAGAGAACTACCCTATTGTTTCTAGTTCCATCCATAGCACTGAGAGCACTACCCCTAGTGTTTCTAGTTCCATCCATAGCATCGAGAGTACTATCCCTAGTATTTCTAGTATTATCTATAGTACTGAGAGCATTATCTCTTCTAGTTCTAGTACTATCTATAGTGTGAGAACACTATCCCTAATATTTTTAGTGTTAGACATAGTACTGAGAGTACTACCCCTAGTATCTCTAGTACTACCTGTAGTACTGAGAGTTCTATCCCTAGTATTTCTAGTACTATCTATAGCACCGAGAATATTATCTCTAGTATTTCTAGTACCATCCATTATACTGAGAGTACTACCCCTAGTATATCTAGTACTGTCCATAGCACTGAGTACTACCCCTAGTATTTCTAGTGCTATTCCTAGCATTTCCAGTACTATCCATAGCACTGAGAGTACTAACTCTAGTATTTCTAGTACTACCCATAGCACTGAGAGTACTATCCCTGGTATCTCTAGTACTATTCATAACACTGAGAATACTAGCCCTAGTGTTTCTAGTACAACCCATAGCACTGAGAGTACTACCCCTAGTGTTTCTAGTCTATCCATTACACTGAGAGTATTATCCCTAGCATTTCTATTATTTATAGCATTGAGAGTACTACCCCTAGTATCTCCAGTACTATCTATAGTATTAAGAGACCCCTAGTACAGATAGCTATCTGCACTGTGCCTGGCCTGCTGCCCTGGGGGATTGTAGGCTGGCTTATCTGGCCGGATGCCATTCCAAGCTCAGCTTCCCCAGACCCTGTCTGGCTGAGTCCAGCTTCTCCCCGCTTCCTGCTAGTCCACATCTGAATGTCCCACTATGCTCCAACCTGAGCTCAGCCGAATGAGGATGCCTTTGGGTGATACTCACAGGAATCCTATAGCCGGGATAACTGGAAATCAGGTCTTGAATAAAAGGATGCTTCAAAAGAACAGAGACTTCTATCGGCTCCAGATTCTTGGCACCCAGGTCCTCAAATACTTTTATGAAGCTCTTAAGAAAGATAAAATTAGTTAATCTTACAATTCTGCAAATGTTAAAAAGTGTTTTTTACTTAATAAATTCCATAAAAATATGCTTCGACTTGGGGCCACTTTTCTTAGGCACAGGTTGCTTCCTTTACCAACCTCTAAGTAGGCGTTCTCGGCCCTCAGGTGGTGGGCAAATCTGTTGGTGTTCTGGGCTTTGTTTTGTGCTCGGAACACTTGGAGCAGTGTTTCCAGAGAAATCTTTTCCGTGTTGATATTTTCAGGAATTTCTGGTTCCCTTTCCTCCCTTTCCTCTATGAATTTCCTGTACGCACTTAGGAAGGCCTCCTCTGGTTCAGAATAGTTCTGCAGTGGACTCTCGTCAGTAAAGAAGTAGGTCTGCACAAATAAATGAAGAGAACATGAAGTCAGACTGAGTTCTTCCCAGGAACAGAGGCATTTAAAAAGCACCAACTCTGTCACCGATTTTTTACGCCATGGAATGATAGTGCCTACCACAAGCTAGCTCCACAAAGTCAAGAAGAGAATATGTTGGCCAAACTGAAAATCATGTCCAAATCCTAGCCCAATTCTGTTGGTAATTAAATCTAACCGGGGGGAGGGAGGGGGGTGAGAGAGAGAGAGAGAGAGAGAGAGAGAGGAAGAATTTTCTATCAGGTGAAGATTTTGGAATTAAGCACATCTATTCATCCATCCATCCATCCATCCATCCATCCTCTTCTCCATTTTGAACAGCTGAAGTGCTACATGGCATAACTGTGAAGCTGGCCTTGTCTCCACCTAGGAAGCCTGGGGATCATCACAGTGGCTGCCCATCAACAGTTGCCCAGGGTAGTGAAATGCACGGAGAGATGTGAAACCGCCTGCTGAGTGAGGGAAGAGTGAATGAATTCCTATTCAGATGCAGCAAAGGTGCTGGGTGGACCCATAAAGACAGAGCCTGTGGGTGAGCCAGTGACTAGTCAGGTGAGAGCAGTGGGTGATACCAGAATTAAAGCGAGAAGGAACCTGGTCTCTCCGCACTATCTCCATGGTTAGGAACCAGCCTTTCCAAGGCCTGGCACGAGCAGCATGGATAAATGATTTTTCAATTTTAGCTAAAGGGTAACAGTTTAATCCTTAACTGATTAGTGTCAGAGGATGCTCTTAAAATTTTTGTGGTTTTTGCTCTCTAGGGGGTTGGGACAGAATGGAACCAGTGGTTCAGAGGGAGGGGAGAGGGGAGCGAGGCTGAGATTGGGACCAGAGCGACTAGCTCAGCCTCCTGGCAGGACTGCAGGGCGTGTAGAGGGGACCTTCTCCAACACACATCTTGGAAAGACCACGGGTTTTAATGGAGGTGCGTGACCAAAGCCAGGAGGCGGGAGAGGAGAAGAGCCAGTGCGTCTGAATGAGCAATTATTAGAGGCATCAAAATTCTGTGTGCGTCACTTTGTCATCGTATTGTGGCCCTGGCAAATGCTATGTCACACCCCGAATGCTCAGAGGGAGACCTGGAGACCTCCCAGCAGATGCGTCTCCGGAATGGTGCCAGACCACGCGTTCCTATATCCAATCAGTTCATTTCCGCATCTCAGGGCGGAGCAGGTCACTAACAGGACCAATGTGGGCAAAGCATCAAAGAGCCAAATGGAATAAAAATGTGTGTGTTCCCAACCCCAGGGCCTCCAAGGCTCTGCCAAGATGCTTTAACACGACTCGAAAACTCTGGGAGATTCAAGCGCATCGGTTACTCATTTCCAACATCAAAACCCCACACCGCATGGGTCAGAATGAACCATTTTCCAACGTGTCAACTTCCTTCAGGTTTCACTGGGATGAGGGCGTACTCATTCGTGCTCCGCTCCTGAACGTCTTTTAAATTACCCAAGAGGAAGGGGGTCTCATTGGTAGGTCTGTGCCACACCAACCGGAACAGCCTGCGTTTCAGAAGCAGAGTCAGAAAAGCTGAAACATCCGGGAGGTTTCTAGTTGTTTATGTGGAAAGCAAAAGCAACTCTGATTCAGTGCCTTGGGAGTGGCTGTGAATCTGCTGGAGGTGTGATTTCTGAGTAGGCTCATTTTGGCTTCCTGAGATGAGGTTGCCCAGGAAACTAAGAACACAGTTGGAAAGGGCACAGGAACAGAGCCGCATCATCGGATGCAGGATGGCAGGACAGGGGTGAGCAAGAATGAGGGAGGTGGGTGGATCCTGTATGTCAAACCTCCTAGGGTTTACTCCAGCCAGGAACAGGCTGGTCCGTGTGGTGTGGGACACGTGCATTCCATGCCTGGCTCCTCTCCGGGTCGCTCTGCTGTTCCCTGGTTGTGGGTCAGTTCAGGTGCAGTGTCCTTGGGTTTTCAAAGAGCTCTTGAGAGAAGCCCTCCAGGGGAGAGCTGCTTCCTGGGTGGGGCAGTAGCTGACTTTGAATGGGTGATTCAGGGGTAGAGGGGATTCCACCCTGATAGCTGGCTTGGCTGCTACCCACCACAGCAGCTATCTGTTGCTGTAGCAATAGCTTTAGCAAGGGCGTCCTTTTTCCTGGTCTCTGGCTCCTTGTAGCCTCATGGCTCCTGTTTTTACCTCTGCCTGGAATAGCTGCTGTCTTCTGCTTTACCTTGGAGACTGGGGTCTATTCTTTCCCCTCTCTCTCCCTCCCTTCTTTCCTGCCATGTCTGCAAACAGTTGAACACTTGCGCTGTGGCAGCTACTTTGGGGTAACATGTCGTCCCCAAATCAAGGTAGAAATAACTTAGCAAAAGGATTCCATGGATAAGCAACTGCCTTCCTGAATAACGAGCTCTCCTTCTTGCCTCTTTTGCGCCCCCTGCAGTCTGACCTCAACACCGCAGCCCGGGAGGGCCACACATTGTCCGTCAGACGGCCACACTCCAATGACTTCTGGTACCATCTCTTGTGGGGCCTGCCAAGCCCTCTGAGCTCTCCCCCCACTTTCCTTTCCAACCACTCCTCCAGCTCACTGCTCTCCACTACAATGGTTGACTCTCTGTTGCTGGGCATACACTAGGCGTGACCACTTTAGCTGCTTTCGCATTTACAGCTGTCTTCACTTGAAACGCTCTTCTCTCAGAGACCAGCCAGGCTCCCCACCTTCTCTGGGCCTCTGTGTATATTCTCTCCACAGAGAGACCACCGACGAAGAACAGAAAGACAACAACATTCCGTCATGAGATTCACAGATCTATCCTCCGAAGATCAGGGCAAGCCTAAAAAGTCATGTCAATGGATACCTAATAAGGACATTAATTAGTACCCTGGCCTGGGGCTTTTTCACCGGAAAAAGCCCAGCAATGCCAATGCCTTAGAAATCTAAGGGGAACGTGGGGTCTTGTTAGATATTAAGCTTCTCTGTCCCAGGATGCAGGAGACACAAAGCACCTGGGTTTTCAGGTGGCTGGGCTTCGGCCTGAAACACTACCAGCGTCACAGACACGTGGGGTGTGTCTAAAGTCTGGGTGGGTGTTACATAGGGTTTCCATAAAGCCTTCAAATAGATTGGGCTGGCCCCAGCTCTTTCTCATTTATCAGGATAAGCACCTCATGCAAAAGAAAGGCTGTCCTTTACAGAGAAAACTTGGATTCCGCCAAGAAACTTTGAGCAAATTTTGACAACTACAAAAGCATTTTTTTGGGGGGGGCGGGGGGGAGAGACAGTGGAGTCCGATTGAATAAGGCTGATTGAAGACCTAGGACATGCAACTTGGTTGTGTTAGTTACCCAGGAAAATACGGAAAGGAAAAGAACACAGTCCTCCTTAGAAGCGTAGGACTTGCTGGCATCCCCCTCCAGACCCCAGGGCTGCCCCATTTCTGAACTCAATTACCTTTTCTGTGGTAAGCGAAACCAATTCGATGGGCTGGAAGATGTGCGTCCCAACGGCCACGCTGAGGGCCCTGTAGACCCCTTCTTCGGCGTTTGAGTGGCAAGCAAAGTAAAGCAGCATCTGTGTGTAGTCGAGCAGGGGTGGCTCCTTCTCAGGGTCGGCGAAGAGCCTAAAGAAAAACTGCCACACAAAGGATTTCAGTCAAACGTAAGATGCACGCACTCCGGTTGCCCATGCACTCTGTGGACAGGCCACGCGGACGCCCTTGCCCAGCAGCCGTGGAAAACGGTCACTTTCTGGGGACAGAATCAGTAAAACTAACATATGTGATGGCGAACCTTTTGAGCTCGGCATGTCAGCATTTTGAAAAACCCTAACTTAACTCTGGTGCCGTGTCACATAGAGAAATTTTTTCATCTTTGCAACCATAGTAAAACAAAGACTTATACTTTTGATATTTATTTTATATATTTAAATGCCATTTAACAAAGAAAAATCAACCAAAAAAATGAGTTTGCGTGTCACCTCTGACACGTGTGTCATAGGTTCGCCATCACTGAATAGTGAATGGTATTAAATGAAGAATATGCTAAATAAAATTTAAAAACCCCATAAAAAGTAGGGCTTGGAATTCTAATGGCAAAGAAAACTGTATGCTAATCAATGGTATGAACATATTTAGGGAAAAAATGTGCTAATCAAATGGGGGGGACCACATGTTAAGCAGGAAAAGGGAACCCAAGAGCAAGGACCCTCAGTCTGGGCTCAGCACCACCATGAGTCCTGAACATAAAGCTTCTGGTACACCCCTCTCTGTGTGGAGTGGGGAGAGGAGGAACGAACAATGCCCAAAGCCACTGGGACTCTCGCCATTAAAATCTTGAAACGGGCCCACCTTGCTCTGGACTTCGTACTGAATCTGCTGACAGTGATGTGACTTCTCCCCACAGGGGCTCACCTCCAGGGAGAGAGTGCGCTACCCATTGAGCATCCGTTGTTTGCTAAGCCTCCCTCTCATGCTGGGGACCAAGGGGGCAGCCAGCTCTATGCACAGCGTCTCGTGCGTTTGGCAGCACGAGGAGCTGGTACGTGGGAACCTAACATCCTCTGGGGCCCTGCAAAGCTGAGGCCATGCATGAGACCCACAGGCCACACCTAAGACCTATTGGACCTGTCTGGGGAGGTGACTGGCTCTTCTCAAACACGTGCATACAGTGACCCAGAGAATCTGTTCGAAATACAGACTCTAATGGAGCCGATGGTCTGGAGCAGCCTGAGGTCCCGCCCGGGTAGCAAGCTCCTAGGGGGCTCCAGTGCTGGGGCCTGGCCTGCGCTGTGAGGAGCGAGGGCCTCGATCCGAGACACCATGCTGTTCTCTATCACCAACAATCCCTACAACTGTGGGCACATCTCCTGAGACATATTAGTACATGAAGACGGAAAAGGAAATTTCTGATATTCGGCAAATCTAATAAACATGTAAATAAAAATAATGTTTATAGGAAAATGCATAGAATTGGTTACGCTAACAAAGCAGAGAAGAATCAGAGTTTGATGGGATCTGTAAGTTCATTCATTCAGCCACCCTTTATCAACCGTTTGCTGAGTGTCGCTGTAAGCCAGGCCCGAAGCCAGGCTGAGATGCTGAGAAACACCCTCTGATGCTGAGGCACCTTCGGTTTCTCAGGGATCATGATCCCGCTCGCGGGTTCATCCAGGACCACGCATTTCCCTCTCCTCATCCCTTGCCTTTGAGATACTTCAGGGGCTCCCTGAAGGACGAGGAGTACAGGGGGCTGACCATTTCCTGCTTTGCTGCTACTCGGCCCCGGGGGCGACCCACACCCGTCTGCCTTCTGGCTCCAGCGGCTGGGTGAGCAACTAAAAGGCTCTGCCCTTGACTGATATTTCTTTTTCTTTTTAAAAATTCAATTTTTAAAATTGAATTTATTGGGGTGACATTGGTTCACAAAACCATACAGGTTTCAAGTATACAACTCAACAACGCAGCATCTGCACATGCATCGCGCGCCCTTCGCTTCCAGCAAGGTCTCTTTTTGCCCCACACTTCCTCCCTGCCCCCACCCCCACCCCCTTTCCCTCTGGCCATGACCACACTGTTGTCTGTGTCTGTATGGGTTATGCATCTGTGGTTTTTGTTTTTTGTTTTTTGCTTAATTCCTTCACCTTCTTTCATCCAGTCCCTTAACCGCCCTCTCTTCTGACAGCTGTCCGTCTGCTGCATGCAGCCAGGACTCTGGATCTATTTTGCTCATCCGTTTATTTTGTTCATTAGATTCCACATATGAGTGAGATCATGTGGTGTTTGTCTGACATTTCTAAAAACTTCTGTCTGGAAAGGAAGGTGCTATCCAGTCTGCTGGTTTCTTGACAAGTAATGAAGGACCTGTTCATGTCTCTGCAGATTTATTTGTTCACAAAATCGTTCAGAGATGGCCTCGCGAAGCTTTACAGAACTGATCTCAGTCCCCCAGGGCCCTGTTGTAAAAAACACCAACAACCCAAACAAAAAGCCGCCCCTGAAACTGCCACCTGTCTCGGGCTCCTGGTAATTCCGGGGTGTCTCTCCTCCCTGCTCTCCTGCTCGCATTTAGCAGAGATGCTCATAATATGTCATTCAATGGAAGGAAATCGCTCCCTTTGAGGTTATAACTGGAGTCATGTTCAATTTTGCTTGGCAATTCTGGACTCGTGGTCGGCTGGAAATGGAATAATCGAGCTACACAGCTTGCTGTGGTGTCTAAATCTACCCTTCAACCCTTCTCCTAGCTTATTGAGTTTGGCATATTTCCATATTTTCAACATTTACAATGAAGTCAGAGTCATTTTTAGATTTTAAGGTATTGCTTTCTATTGTGGCCTCAGGAAAGAAGGTAATAGCATGACTCTATTATTATCATCAGTGTTACCACTATCATTATAGTACTATTATGAATAGTTACTCTTGATATTTTAGATAATAATGAAAATCCAATGGGCCATGGCCAATGCCATATATGCAAACTGTCGGTATGTTATACCATGTTAGTCAAAATCAGAAATGAACAAAAACATATACATGTAAAATGACCGTTTCATCCTAAGCTTTTTGAATTGGAAGGGCACTTAGAGACAGATGTGGTGAGTAACTCACTAGCTTGTTTGACAGATGAGAGGGAAGCCAGAGAGGTGGTGGAACTTGTCCAAGATCCCCTAGAGCAGTGGTTCTCAACCTTCCTAATGCCGCGACCCTTTAATACAGTTCCTCATGTTGTGGTGACCCCCAATTTCATTGTTACAAATTGAACATAACTAAAGCATAGTGATTAATCACAAAAACAATATGTAATTATATATGTGTTTTCTGATGGTCTTAGGCGACACCTGTGAAAGGGTCGTTCGACCCCCAAAGGGGTCGCGACCCACAGGTTGAGAACCGCTGACCTAGAGGGTCAACAGTGAAATTCTACCTAAGAGTGGGCCTGTCTCCTCCCCAGGGCTCCTCTGTGCTGCCACTTAGAGAGTGTTCATCTTTCCCTAGGGGATGGAGCAGAGGAACTGGAGGGTGGCAGTGGTGTCTGAAACAAATTACACAAGTGGAAGAAAAGACAAAGGAATTGATCAGTGTCAAAATACTCAATTTTAAAAAAATTCTCACTCAAGGATATGTTTTTATTGGAGAGAGAGAGAGAGAGAGAGGAGAGAGAGAGAGAGAGAAATATTGATGTCAGAGAGAAATATAGATCAGTTGCCTCCCTTACACACCTCTTCTGGGGATCAAACCCCCAGCCTAGGTATATGCCCTGACAGGAAATCAAACCTGCAACATTTCGGTTATGAGATGACGCTCCAACCAACTGAGCCACTCAGCCAGGGCAAAGTGTTAGTTTTTTTTTTTTTTTTAAGATCTTAGTAATTACCTGTATGAGATGCTCCAGCCTATGGAATCGCAGCGGTTCAAGAGGATTTTCTGGAATTTTTATATCTTCATCCTCTGTAAACCACAGACCAGCCTATACAAAAAATAAAAATTATTAATGTAGCATGCTGAGATATAATTATTCCGCTCAAAGCCACAGAGACTGAACCCACCTTGTGCAGGTGCCTGAAGTGGGCTGGAGAAACCTTGGAGATGCAGAAGCAAATACTAGAACTAACATTTGCATATATTTTGATCATTTGTAATTTTTATTTTTAAAAATGTAATCCTATGTAATAAAAGCCTAATATGCAATGTGTCCCCTTGACCAGGAATTCAACCAGGAGTTTGACTGGGGGTGGGGCCAGCGGCAGCAGTGGTAAGTGGCCAGGGGAAGGGACTTCCCGTCCCCGAGGCCGGCAGCGGCGGTGGTGACAGGCGGTCTCTAGGGACCCTACTTGTGCACAAATTTTGTGCACTGGGCCTCTAGTAATGTCTATAATACATCAGTTGCAGTAGTACACATGTATAATTTACAAATGAAAATCCACAAATTAGGGATGCTAGCTGTGTCTGAACTTGGAATATGTGATGAGGCTTGAAGGTTACTGCCTAGATTTTGCTCACACAGCAATATTCTGGAGGGGACTGCTGCACCAGTGACAGTAGCTCGCATTCCACTCGCCCTGTCTGAGTTGCTGTCTGTTCTCAGAGCCCATTGTTGGTTCTGGAAAGTCTTTGTTGAGTAACTGACTGACTGACTGACTCAAGAGCTCAAAGGTCTACTTTTTACTGACCTTGCTGTTTCTCAGCCCGTATCTAACACCTATTATGAAATCCCTGGATTCCCATTTGGCGATGCTTTGCTCATCCCTCCCTTCCCACGGCTGCCATACTGGTGTGGAACCTCATTACTCCATCACATGCCCCCCCCGACCCCCCGTCACCTCGGAGCTGGTTATGTGTCCAGTCTCCCTCTGATTTGTTTTAGCTTGTACCTTGCAACCATATCAACCCTCTCACAACTTTAATCTTGTCAAATCAGTCTCTGCTCAGACCACTTTCTACTTTCTTTTTGACACATCTTCACAAATCTTAATGTAACCTTGAAATGATAAAACTGATTCAAGTAACCTCTCTGCATGTCTGACAATATGTAAAGTATACAAAACTGGGCACCCAACAATATAAACTTCACACTACCTGGCATCCAATAGAAGGTCACTAGGCATGCAAGAGAAGCTAGGAAACATGATCTGCAGCCAGGAGAAACATCAACCAATAGAAATGAACACAGAAATGACACAGATGATAGAATGAACAGACAAGGTTATATTCACTTAGCGATTCTAAACATATTTCATTTGTTCAAGGATGTGGAGGAAAAAATGCATATAATGAAGCAAGAAATGAAAGAAATTAATAGACCAAACATGAGCTTCTAGGGATAAAAAGTACAATACCTGAAAGGAAACATCCACGGGATGGTGTTAACAGTAGAGTCAACGTGGCAGAGGAAAAGTCAGTGAACTTGAAGACATAGAAATAGAAATGAGGATGAAATAAAGAACAGAGAAAGAAGACTGGAAAAAATGAGCCAAGCATCAGTACCTTTGGAACAATAAACATATGACTGGATTTTGAGAAAGCAAAGGGTGCAGAAAATAATATTTGGGAAAATATCCTGAAATTTCTCCAAATTAAACAAAAAACTAAAAAACCCATAGATTCAAGAAGCTCAATGAACCCCAAGCAGAAAAATCACTACATGGAGGAACGTAACAATCAAATTGCTGAATACATGTAACAAAGAGGAAATAGTAAAAGAAGCCAGCGGGGGAATGAGGAAACAGGGCTAGGATCCCTCCACTTTCCCCCATCACTCAACCAACTCTCAACTCCATATCCGACGGTTTCAGTGCACAGGAATCTTCCTTGATTTTTAAAACCAATGGTTCATTTAGATTAGTTTTCCAAACGTTTATAGCATTTCAGAAACTACAAAACTGTTTCAAATGTTCCACACTTGCCCTGGCCAGCGTGGCTCTGCTGGTGGGAGCATTGTCCCTTGCACCAAAAGGTCGCCGATTCGATCCCCAGACAGAGCACACGCCTAGGTTGCAGGCTGGGTCCCAGGTCGGGGCACATGTGGGAGGCCCCTGATCGGTGGTCTCTCTCTCGTGTTTCTCTCCCTTCCTCTCTCCAAAACAATAATATAAAAACAACACCATATCCTTGGGTGAGGATTAAAAAAAAAGTTTCACACACAAGAGGGCCACATTAGAAAGAACAAAAATAACCTAATCGGAAAACAACTGATGGTGTTAAAATAGTCAGTCATCCATGAAAACGTTCACACTATGAAATGCTGACCTGAACCTGCATAGCAATCAGGGCTGAAATGGATAAATCGAGGTTCAGGCCACCACCCCCTGCCGCCCTGGCGAGTGAGGTGATTTCTCCTTGAAACATGGAAATGCCCTTGGAACTCTCTTGCTAGCTAGAATGTGGCCAAAGGATTTTTTCTTTCAATGCTTTTCCTTAGAAAATAAATAATTACTGCACCGCTGGGATCCTGGGACGCCTGACTCAAGAAGCCTGCAATACCACCACGCTCCCCGAGAGCAGGGGTGAGAGCTGAACACCAGAGAACTGCACACGAGAGTGGCCACACATGCACGCGAGACAGAGGCAAGCGTGTGACGGCGGCTGCAGGGCTGCGGGGAGCACAGGGGAACGGGCTTTCATGCTCGCATGCAAGGCTGAGCAAGGCGCAGGCCCTGACCTCACACACCTCGTGTCTCCTCCATCGTGAGAGCCGGGAAATCAGCACACTCTCTCATGTGGCTGCTGTGGTGAACTCGCAATTAGTCAGAAGAAAAGAAAACGACAGACAAAATAAACAGCGGAGGAGAGAGCCTTCCTCGCCCCGAAAACTTCATCTCAGCAGTGGGCTTAGAGTCTTAGACTATTGCCCCGTTGACATGACAACATGGCATTGCCATAAACCTTACAAAGTTTTGCCCTAGAAGCTGTTTAGACTTTTCCCATAGAAGAACTGGTTTTGCTGAGCTGGGGAGGCTGGAAACCTGTAAAAGTCATGACGGGGGATGGTCCAGGGCCTGTCCAGGTGGCCTGGTTGTCCCGGGGCCCCTGAGGAGTGGGAACTGTGGGGGCAAGAGGAGAGGGCAGAGCAGAAATCAGCTGCTCCCGGAACACGGGCGGGGTCCCAGCAAGTATTTCCGAGTCTCTCTCAGGCAGCAGCCAGCTCTCTCTAAGAAGCTCGCGCCTTTGGTAAAGCAGCTTTCTGGGTTTGGCTCAGGACTTCGGTAAAAGTCGCTAACACCCTTCGCTGGTCTCACGTTTGCGAAAAAGGATGTTTAAATCGATATCCTGTGTTAATGGGCGCGCACTGTAAACAGTGAAGGGGGGGTGATTGCACCGTGCCCGCTTTTAAAGGTCTTGAGCCAAAGAGAAAAATCACCTTCACAAGTTGTAAGCCCGGGCCAGCTTGTTCAGAATTCATAAATGGCTCTACTTGGGACGTAAGTCAGCACCTGACCACCCAAGCGCTGGTTTGGTCAGCCTTGGAGGACTCTTCTTACCATGTAAGTGCTGTTACCTCCGGCTCAGTTGTGAGGCGTGAGAACTCGGGGCTGGCGTTCATTATGGGAGAAAAGACAGCGGGAGGGGTGACCTTTCAGGGGTGGCATGCACTTGAGAGACAGGCCTCTAGGGGGTATCACCCCCTTTCAAAATGAGCACCTTCCCAGCGTGAACGTCTTTTGTGTCTGCCAGCAGCGTGAACTGGTCAGCAACAGGGGAATTCAGTGAGTAGGCAGGCAATGAGCAGCGCAGGCCCTTCTCGGTTATGGGGTTTCACTCCTTCCTTACTCACACTTCTCAAAAATGAGTTGTTTTTTCTTATGTTCACTTTCTAAAGGCCTCACCATTCCCTCACTCTCTGCGATCCAGATTCTGCCTCTGCCAGAATTGCTCTGGTAAAGGTCCCCAGTCACATCCGACTTCTTAGGTGGAAAGTGGGCTGGGCTTAGTGCCACTGGGCATCGATAGCCACCTGCATATACTGCTCGTAAGTGATGGTGCCGGACTGCTCCTTGTCCACGGCCTTGAACCTCCGCAGGGTCTCCAGCAGCTGCTCCTCCAGAGGGATGGGCCACGGCAGCGAGGTCGCCAACAGGAATTTCCGCCAGTCCACCATCTCCGAGTCGACTGTTAATATAGATGTTAACTCCTGAAACTAGAAGAAAACAGGAGATGCCGTTGGAATGTTTGTGTGATTCTAGAGCAGGGGTCCTCAAACTTTTTAAACAGGGGGCCAGTTCACTGTCCCTCAGACCGTTGGAGGGCCGGACTATAGTTTAAAAAAAAACTATGAACAAATTCCTATGCACACTGCACATATCTTATTTTGAAGTAAAAAAACAAAACGGGAACAAATCCAGTATTTGTATTTGCATGTGGCCCGCGGGCCGTAGTTTGAGGACCCCTGTTCTAGGGTGATGCTCTATCTGCTCATGTGTCTTGACAAGAGATTCGGGTGAAGGAAGTAGGATTTCAGCCCCTCTGCACCAGGCAGTCAGTACCTAGAGAGCGTTTCATCTTTCGCTTCTTTGACATTTGGGTTTCTGCCTACTGTTACGTGATAAATTTATACACGTGTCCCCAGTTGATTTTGCACGTTTTCAATAGAGGTGGGAGAAAAGTGAGATAGGGGCTGTGCAAGGCATACAGCCTGTAGGGAAATACTCCTTAACCACTTTGTCTTCTGATACATTCTTGAGAAACAGAGGAAGATGAAAAGCAGGAACTGCCAGAATCATCTGCTTTTACTAGTCAGGACCGTCCCATCAGGTAACAATGGACACAAGCTTAGGGGCTGAGCCTCACGGGCTCAATCATGTTTCACTGACTGTGAGCACCCCTATTCCTTCTTCCAATACCGAGCATGTGTCTTACGTTCATCCATGCCATCATTCAATTGTTATTGGTTGCCTACTAAATGTCAGATACGGTGCGAGTAACTGGTTATTCTTGAAACTATTGATGTATTGATCAAATAAAATTTCTCAGAGCTTTGAAACCCAAACAAAACAGATGCTTACTTCAGGTTGAGTGAGGTGCATCCAACTGCTGGGAAGGCTGTTGGTTCCGAGGTTCAGAGTCACCAAGTCAAGAAGAATGTCAGTAAATGGTTTAGTTCCTATGATGCCTATAACACAATGAAAAATATTTTTTTCAGTTATGTGACGGGGAATCACTTTACTATTATGATGGAAAACAATAACCTTTAGAAAAACAGAAGACATTTTGAAAGCATAAAAATAACAATCAATTTCCTGATGCGCTCCCATTATTTCTTTCCTGGGACTTCATATTTTAGTTTGGAGGGTTTTTTTGTTTTTTTTAAACCTTTTACTCGGAATCGGTTGAATTTTTAAGAATACTTAAACTTTCCTATTATACAGTAGGATGCAAGAGTAAAATATTGCAGAAAATATGGGACAAAGGTGTTTCAAAGGCATGCAGATAAATCACCACAATGATCAAGGTAACACATGTATCCTCACTTCACTCTTTAGATCAGAATATATTTGTTTTATAAATGTAGGGAGATTTGAATTATTAAATGATTGGATTGAAATTATTAACTCAATCACTATTTCAAAATAGAATTTTTAAAAGATCACTACTAACCTTTTAAATGCTTTGCTCTTATATACTAATCTACTTTACCCTGTCCAGCAAAGATGTTTGCTTAGTCAGTTTCTCATTTCAAATTGTACGCACATGCATTTAAAAGAAATAGGAAAGCAAAATAAGTGAATCTGCTTCAAGAATGTCTAACTCCCATAGCAGAGGCTCCTGCTAGAGCTGAAGAGACTCCTACACGTATTGGGTATCTTTCAGGTCCAGAATGTATGGTTATTCTTTTTTAGAAATAGAAAGAATGAAAACTGTGGACATAGCATCTCAAATTTTTTGCTTTACTACTAAGTTTTTAGCATTTATAAAAGTCTAAACTAAACTTTATCATCTCCTTTAACCTTTAGGAGCATGCAGTAACTCATGCAAAATTTCAGTGGTTCAAACCAAATCGACAATTTTGAGATTTAGACGGTAACTTTCTGGGGAGAAAGAGCAGAATGTGTTTTTCTTTGATATGACTGGCCATCCAGCGGGTTGTTCAGAAATAAATTCTTTATCTTTTTTAAATCAAATCTGAATATTCAATTTTATAGAGATGAGAATACTTTTCAAGGTAGTAGAATTTTCAGTAAAACTATCTTTACATGGGATCACATTGGTTTTCAGGTAAGTTAGAATAAATCATTCATGTTCCTCACTATAAAACCATAATAAAACCTCTTTTGAAACCATGAAGAGGCTTGAAATACTTACAAATTCTGGTAGATGTAGAAAATATTTCCACTGTCTCTAATAGCCATGGTGCAAGCAAAGTGTTGTAAGATAATACATTTTTTATTGGTTTTTTTTTTAGAGGGGAAGGAGAGGAGAGAGGAGAAAGGGAGGAAAGCAGAGGGGAGAGAGAGAGAGAGAGAGAGAGAGAGAGAGAGAGAGAGAGAGAGAGAGAATGTGAGAGAGAAACATTGATTGCTTGCCTCCCAAACGGGTAGCCTTGACCTGGGGATTGAACACACAACCTTTTGGTGCACAGGAGGACACTCCAACCAACTGAGCCACAATACTTCTAATTACATAGGAACTCTTTACCTGGGGACATTAGTGTGAACTGTAAAAAAGCTATTTTAATATTTGTCCTGTTACTTAGATGACCAAGACATATAGTGATATGATCTGTACACATAACTCTCAGAAAGATGACATCGAAATAACACCATTGCTTAGAAATATACACCTCCACCCAAAGACTGTGAAGGAATGTGTGGATATACAAGTAGAATCAGAGTGTTATTGGAAAACCAGTTTTTGGATTTTTGCTTTGTATGTCTGGGAGATACCAAATGCCTTTTGTCTTTGATGCGAAGACCAGTGCTGGCTTTACTTTTATATTTCAGGCTTGAAAATAATTTTTTTGTTTCTGCTATGATCAAAGATGAAGTCAACATTCATCATATTACTGGTCACTTCCATCATGGCTTCCTGAGTTGGATGAACAATCCGAATTAGGTCTTGTGTCACCAGCTGAAGATAGTGTTCTCATATTCCATAAATGGTTAGCTTTCCTGGGGTCAACGTTATTAATGTCTGGAGAATTCATTTGAATAGTCAGGAGATCTGACATGCCATCAGCCTTGACCTTGGCATGCCTCTGTGACTTGGTGCATTGCATCTGACGAAGCCCCACTGAGTTTGCCGGGAGGGTCAGTACGAGGTCCACTGTGGTCAGGTTACTTGGATATCTGTGTAAGCAAACCGAAGTCACAACATCTCAAGTCCATTTGCGGATGTCCTGTAACCTAGGAGGGAAAGCGAAAAATGTGAAAGATTGATACTCCCAAAATTTACCCTAATATTTGTTTGTAAGGATCAGCATATTTGCTGATGCTCACCCAGCATAAATCTCTAATTTCAGCACGCTCCCCTCAGTGGGCACTTCATCGATTTGTACATTGGCAGCTGCCAATGCTGGTCCATAGTGTGCCATCAGGATGGCCACCTCTTTATCTTCGAATTCTGCCATCAATATGCAAATGAAAAGTTACTGATATAAAAAGCACTCACACAGACGATCAAAGAACCGCAGGCTCCGAGTCAGGGCATATCGGTTACCGTGATTGATCTTTGCGGGCCACGATTGAAAGCTTCCAGTCACAGCTGCCTCCACCACATCTTGGCTGGCATCTCTGAAACAGCCTCGCAGCCTCGTGATAAGATGTGTCAAAACCATGTTTCTCACACTAGAAAAGTTTCCTTTTCCTTTGAGGCAGTGACCATGAAAGTCTGCGACTGAAGCCGCCCCAGTTCTCTTGGCCTGGGCCGGGGAGAAACAAAATGCTCCACATCAACCATTAAATGGAAAAGCCCCTGGCAAATGATTTCCCAAGACATCATCCCCGACTCCTCACCTCATCTGATACGTTCGGAGCATTTCCCGTGGCGACCCCAAGGTAGCAAATACACCTGCGATTGAAGACTTTTCGTTTTGGCTGACATGGGACAGAATGCTAGGCTCATTAACGACATCCACCAGGCCATGAACACATCTAACAGTGTCTGCTCAGAGAAGGAACTCTGGAAGTTCTTTGGCTTTCTCATGACCGGTATGACTTCTGCCTTCACCCATCTGTACCACAGGTTGGGAATAAAAGAGTGGTCTATCTTTCTCAAAATTATTATTTCGAATTGCTCAATAAAAATATTTTCTATTATTCTGAAAAACTAAAACAGTGGGTTAGTTCCGAATTACTCACTGAACGCAGTTGCTGGACAATTGCAGGGTGTCCCTTGGAAAGGCCTGGAGGGCTGCCTGTAATCCTGCAGCCATGCCTGCCCCCCGACCCCAGGAGGCATCACAGGATGGAGGCAAAGGCTTCTGAACGCAGTTACCGGGGAGCTCTTGCGTAGCGGTGAACTTGATAGAAGTGACAGGTGCTGTGGAGGAGGTCTCTGACACTGTTGTACGGGGGAACGTTCTGGAACTCCGCCTCATGAGAGAGTTCACGGTGATGTGCTGAGCAATACACAGCCAGCACACATGGCTGGATTGCTCTTAAAAGCAGGGCCACGCAGCTGTTTTCTCCCTCGGAGCCAGAGGCACCATCGCTTCCAGAGCCAACCAGCTTCCTTGCCCAGTCTTGGCCCGACAGCCTAAGCTGAAGATTGCTCTCTAGAATTTTCTCAGTGGCAGTTTTGATGGCCAGAGGATCCTTTCTTTTTACTGTTGGTACCCCAACGAGCTGGCAGTGCACCTTCTGTGTGCAAGCTGCCATGGACCGGGTCAGCGTCCTCCATCGCTCCGGCTGAGAGCCCTTCCCCGAGGACAGGGAAAAGCTGACTTCTCTCTAGTTCCTCTCTTCAATCCCCCGAGTTCTACTTTAGCAACAAGATACGTAAATGTTCTTGCTGATTTGTTAGCTCAGAACACAGGGCCAACATCGACACCCTTTGTATCATCCAACTTGCACATCCAAATGAAATCTTGGAGGGGCCGTCCGGTCTTGGTGACAGCATGGCAGGATCGGAATAAGTTCCGGACTCTCCCCAGGGTTCCTTGGCTCGTGGTCCCCGCCGCCCGCTCCGTGGAGGCTCTGTTCACCGGAGGACCGTCTGCTGCTCCCGTCAACGGAGCTCCGGCATGAGCCGTGATGAGGGGCTGCGCTCCGAGCTGCTGCGCTCCGAGAAGCCCAGCCCTAGCGCTGTCAGTGCCGTGGAAGAAACTCACTTGATTTCCCCTCGATTACACTCCATGCTTATGACACAGGCCACGGAACCTAAGGTTTAGGATCTCATCATATACAAGCCAGGGGCCTTTTTCTTTCTTTCCTTTTTTTTTAGCCAGATTTTCAAAAATTGATTGTTCTTCTTTGGAAGGTAGTGGTCAAGCGTCCATGTTTTTCTCTGTGTTTCAGTGACTCGACTCAGATGGCCTGCAGGGTCCCCGCCTTTAAAACAGCTCCACATTGTTATGTTAGTGTCCGCCAAAGTCTAACCCCAGTTTTGCTTAATGCCTGCCCCTCCCTTAGCCGCCCACCCCCCCCAACTTCCTCATTGTTTCTGGAAAAGATCAAAGTGCGTGCTTACTACTTACCGGGCATCCTGGCTAGTGTTTTCATTGGCTTTTATCATTTAATCCTTATAATACAGTCTCTTTACTTTATAGTGAAGAAAATGGACTAATTACTATTATCACCATTTTCTGGGTAAAAGAACCAAGGCACAGAGTTACTGAATCTATGCAGTGTCAGAGCGCTCACAGCGGTGGAGCTGGGCCTCACTAGCAGGCAGTCCTTCTCCACAGCCCCCACAGTTACTCGCTTCATTATGACGGGGTTCTCATAAGGGCAAAGGGGGCTGCTCTTCACTCTAGAATCCATTTCTCCATGTGTTACAGGGACACTGAATTTGCTATCATTTCCTTTCCATGGTGAGAAGAAAGAACGACAGGGCATGCACAGCAGCGTGTCTGCAGGCTCGGATGTGGGCCCTGCCGGTGAGCCTCAGCGGTTGAATGTCGACCCGTGAACCAGGAGGTCAAGGTTCAATTCCTGGTGAAGGCACATGCCTGGG